CCTCAGCGAGCGCAGGTTGGGTTGAGCCCACTCTAAGAAGCGCTCTACCAGCATGAAGAGGCGCTTCGAAGAGAGGCCTCCCTGGCGATTAATGTAGGACACAACAGACATGTTGTCAGATCGGATTAGCACATGGTGCCCCTTCAGGACTGGCAGGAAGAACTGACAGGCTCGACATACTGCTAGCATTTCCAGGCAGTTGATGTGGAAGCCTTTTTCCGCCTTCGACCAGTGGCCGAAGGTCGGTATGCCCTCGCACAGCGCCCCCCAACCTGAGTTGGAGGCTTCTGTCATGACAACTGTCCTTCTGTTCTGTGAACCATCCCCATGGCCATGCCCTGTTCCATCCAGCGGGAGTTCTTCCAGGGGGTCAGGGCCGATGCACAGGCCTGACTCACCCTGATATGTAGGCGTCCGTGATGCCACGCATGGGATGGAACCCGTGGTTTCAACCAGCGCTGAAGGGGGCGCATACACAGCAGACCCAACTGTAGCACTGGAGATGCTGCTGCCATGAGGCCCAGCATCCTTTGAAACGCTTTGAGAGGGCGAGCGGTACCGATCTTGAAGGAGGTCGCCAGCCTCCGTATGGCCAGAACTCGTTCTGGCGTGACTACAGCTTTCATTTAGGCTGAGTCGAAAATTGCTCCCAGGAACGAAATTCGCTGGCTGGGAAGCAACGAGCTCTTGGCTCAGGTGTCTGAGATCGAGGATGGGTCGGAGGCCACCATCTCTCTTGGGGACGAGGAAGTAACGGCTGTAAAAGCCTGACTCGCTCTGGGATGGAGGAACCTTTTCCACAGCTACTCTTGCAAGCAATTTCATCACCTCTGCGGATGATGCCTGAGGCGCCGGGTCCAACGCAATCTTGGGTCGGGGTCCCTGGCGCTTAGGAAGAGGGTAGCGTTTGGCCGAGCGAGAGCGCCCCCGCGTCTGCTGCGCTTTAGCGGGCTGAACAGCGGAGGCGGCAGGTGCTGATTTCGCGGGCTGCTGAGTCGGCGCAGATTTAGGGAGAGCTGAGGCAGCAGCGGAGCTGGAGCGCTTAGGCAGGAAATGTTGCATAGCCTGGGACGATTTCTGTGCCTCCGTGAAGCGTTCAGCGAATCCTTCGACCGCCGGGCCGAAAAGACCTTTGGGAGAGACTGGCGCATTGAGGAAGGGGATCTTATCCGCGTCCTTAATCTCCGTCAGCATCAACCATAAATGCCGCTTGAGCACCACAAGGCTGGCCATCGATCACCCGATCGCCTAGGCGGTGGTCTTGTTGGTGCATAGAGCCAGGTCGGTCGCGCTCCTCAGATCCCTCAGGGTGGCGGGGTCCAGGCCAGACTTGTCGGAGGATGCGAGGATTTTGGCCTGGAAGACCTGGAGGACCGCCATAGAATGAAGCGCCGAAGCCGCCTGTCCAGCTGAGGTGTAGGCGTGTCCAACGAGAGCTGAAGTGGTCCTACATGGCTTAGACGGGTGAGCGGCCTTCGCTCTCCAGCCGATGGCCGTGGGCGGGCAGAGATGCGTGGCCACTGATTCATCTAGGGGAGGTGGCTTATCGTACCCTTTTTCTTCAGCGCCATCAATCGAAGTGAGGGCGAATGAAGAAGCAGTATGGAGGCGGGCGGAGTAGGGAGTGCGCCACGATCTGGTGAGCTCGTCGTGGACCTCCGGGAAAAACGGAGAAGCACGCTGACGAGGGGCCTGGCAGCGCCCCGGCAGGAACCATTCATCCAGACGGCTGTGAGAGGGCTCCTCTGGCGGAGACCACTCTAAACCCAGCTCTTCAACCGCTTTGGAGAGGATACGGAGAAGCTCGGCATCCATCCCATCTTTGGTAGCGCTGGGTGCGGATGATAGCGAGGGGGTGGGGTCATTCACCGAGCCCAACAGCTCCTCTGCATCCGATGCTGCCAATGACATGCTGTCATCAAGCAGCTCGTCCTCACTTCACCCAAATGAGATCAGGTCGCTCGCACCAGCAGAGGGACGCTGATCAGACCGGGAGAAAAGGACGGGGGAATACTCTCTCTGCGGCGAGAGCGAGGCACGCGGGATCTGGGCCGGGGTGCGGGGCGCGGACGATGGCGAGGGGGTGGGGTCATTCACCGAGCCCAACAGCTCCTCTGCATCCGACGCTGCTAATGACATGCTGTCAATCAAGCAGCTTGTCCTCACTTCCCCCGAATGAGATCAGGTTGATCGCACCAGCAGAGGGACGCTGATCAGACCGTGAGAAAAGGACGGGGGTATACTCTCTCTGCGGCGAGAGCGAGGCACGCGGGATCTGGGCTGGTGTGAGCTCGCTCGTAGCCAATCGCTCGACCCCTTTGCCCCGCTGTATTTTCCTCACAGGTCCCTGGGAGGAAGAAAACGGGAGGGCGCGGGGGGCGGAGTCGCTCTCTGAAAAGAAAGCGATCCGTGAGCGGAGAGAGGCGAGACTGAAGCTCTCGCAATGGGAGCAAATACCTCCCGTGAGCGCAGCTTCCGCATGGGATTTCCCCAAGCAGGAAACGCACTCCGTGTGGCCGTCATCGGCGTGCAGGGGGGACCCGCACGAACCGCAGTAACGGCGTGGCATTTGCAACAACACCAATTTGCTCTTTTAGAAGCTCTTTTAGAAATCGCCGGATGGTGGCAGGGGAACCGGACCGGAACTGCTGCGCCACTGGAGTGGCGGAGAAGAAGGTCAGCCGTGCTGAGAGGTCCCGATTCCAGATGCGAAGGCGTGTCAACGGCGAGCGGCTTCGGATCAGCTTAAGGACATATTTTTTAAGCACTTCACGAACCAATGGCCGTGCAGTTTCACTGCGTGAATGAAAAGGCTTCAGTTCAGGAGAAAAAAAGGCTTTTTTCCCTTAAGCAAGACGCAGTACGAGTGAAGTATCGAAAGGGAACCCTTTAGTGTGTTCATTACAAATAAATTGATTATTAAAACTACAAAAGCATTTCAGTCAAGAGCAGCGAGTGATTCTTTTATCGTTAGATTAACATTAATGAGAGAGACGGCCTATATTAAGACCTGCTGTAGCCTAATGCACGGATCTAATATAATGTTACACATCAGATGTTTTTCACCAACAGCTCCCCAAACGTTCACTTAAGACATAACAGACTATGTTTGCGTGAATACTTAAATACTGTAATTCTGTGTATATGTGTATATTTATCGGGGTCGCGCGCAGTTGGAAGCACCTTTACGTTCGGATGACAGTCAGCGTGAGAAACGAGCGGAGAAAAGGTACTCCTCTCAGAAAACAAACAAATAAAGATCATTTTAGATGTGTTATTACTATTTGGAGCATTGGGATCACTAGACGAGGGCCTCAAAATCAACATTTTTCACTTTTTTTGTCTGTAGCTCAAAATTAGCCCGTGTGCATTCTGACTCATTTTTCCAGCATGGGTCACAAATAGTGTTTTCACCATACTTTAGATATTAATATCCATTGCAGAGTTGATAGTTCAGCCATACTGATCGCTGGATGATTCATTTGATCAGCTGTAAAACAGTGATTCTCTCAAAATTATTGTCTGTGATAACTGCAAAAAAAAGGTTGTCAACAGAGCTTAATAATTAATACTACTCTTAGTATTACACTTACTAAAAACAGCACTATTTTCATACAGTAAAGGTTTGTGTGAAGTACAAGGAATGACTGTAATGGACAGGGCCTAAATGAAATAGTGTCCTAATTACTTACATGCAGCAGGAGTCGGGCCTCCATGGCTTCCTTACAGGTGATGAAATATGGCTTCATTAGCAATATATCCTGACGTAATTTCTGAAGTACAAGAATGATAAAAACATTACCTTAGATTGCATTCTATAGAATGCTGTTTCAGCCAATGCCCTCTTCAGATTAAACCGCTTTACCAACAAAAAAAAAAAAAAAAGGTTTACACTGTCACAATTTAAAAAAAGTTACCTGTTTTTTTTTAATGAATTTATCTATCACTTCTATAGACTGTCATTGTTGCATTACTGAACTGTTGGTTGCAATCAAGAAAGTCAAAACCTCAGAACTGAACAGGTGAAAATCATTATTTTACTTTTAATAATAAATACTTTTAATAATAAATAATTGTATTTTACATTATTTGCTTTTTTTGATACTTACTCTGATCTCCACTAGCTCCTCCACAAAGTTGAAGAGAAGAGGATTGATCTCCTTCAGTTTGAGCACAGGCCTGGACATCATCAGAGCAAGATAGCGCATTGATGTACGACACACCTGAACACATCAATACACACACCACAATCAGAGTCTTATGTCATGAGTTACTATCAAACTGAAAATTATATACAGTATATGGTAACACTTCAATTTAAGGACCAATTCTCACTATTAACTAGATGATATATATATATATATTCATATATACTGAAGATTCAGAGGGAAAACTTCATCTATAACAGTTTAGTGGAATATTAAAGGTGATAATGTAAATTGACATGAGATGCACTGATTGACCAGCCAGGTACCAGAATCAGCCGATTTTCCGTATAATCGACCCAGACCGGCTGGTGAGTCTCATGTCTTAAACCTAGTTCACACTACACAACTTAAAACGTCGGCAGATCGCTGTGCTGTTCAGACTACATGACTTGATTGTCTGTCTTGAAGTCGTTATGGTGTTCACACTACGCTACACTACATGAATGATTCACAACGGGTGGTCACACACTACACGAGCTGACAATAACTCTGTCACCCAATGACTCTACACGGTCCTCAAACCATGTTTTGTCATGAAAACACACGCAAGAAGTTGAACGGGAATGACACAAAACAACAAGTGAAACACGAGTTGTTTATTTGAAAATGGACATCGGAAAGAAATTAGTGCTGCAAGCTGATTGCATGATGATCTGTTTTGAAAAAAATTTGCTCCATTTCTTGTGTCCAATCTTTTCTTAAAGCCATGTTGCTGCTGCTGTTTTTCTTCTGCTGACCTCAACCCATGCCTTGCTTCCTCATATAGCTCATCGAGACACCTGACACCACGTGATGTCGAGTCGGCCGACCGGTCCAGATATTTAGCATGCTAGATATTCATTTGGTGTCGGCGAGGCGTCAGCGAGCCTCTTTGATGCGTCGTTGATTATTTCACACATAAAGATTGCCGAGCACTGATCACCCACCGATTTTCCCCCGATGACAGCCCGACCTGTCAGCGAGCTCGTTAACTTGCTAATCGGGCTTAAAATCTTGTAGTGTGAACTAGGCATTACCGATTCCGAGCTGGTCCGCTTTGATGTTACAGCTACGCTCACAACCGCATGTAAACATGTAATTGTGTGAAAGTTCTTCACTGTGAGTGAGGATGACACAAAGTTTGCAATTTATAATACGTGTAGGGCCAAAGTAAACCGTGGGGGAACCACAGGGCTTGATTAACACTTGTCCAGGACAAATCAATTTTTAAAAGGAAGAATGATTCTGATTTTACTGCATTTAGTGTAAACGGCAACTGATAATGTATTGATGTCATGCAAGATGAGGCTCGCGCAGCCTGAGTGAGAGACTCAGAAATTAAAACAATTGAGCGCAACAGCACACACAACGTATCTTACAGGAAGTTATAGATGCATTCTGCTGTAGCAAAAAAAAGAATATTGGAGTCATGTGCTGGGATGATTAGCAAACCTCCTGATGGCTGATAGGAGCATAGCAGTGTCCGTTCATGTACTAGAAATCCCTACATACATCTAATGCCACTTCAGATGCAGCTTCTGTCTCCTCTGCAGTGGAAAGATGGAGTTTGTTGATACTGATTTCATTTGAATAGTAACAACTCTACAGTTTCTAACTGAATTAATTGAAACAATGTAAAAATTTGCTGTGAAAGATGACACATACATTTAATAAGGTTAGGAAAAAATGCCCATTTATAAACATAGTGGGAAACGACATCTGTTTTGTTATACCCAGCAACTCAATTCTACTTCTTTACAGTCACAGAGCACTTTATTTTGAGAGTTGTTTAAGTGAGAGAACATCTGTAACTTAGTCTAGATTGGGGAATTGTAATGCTTAATCATCTTAATCTTTTATTATGCAATAATCTTTTATTATGCATTTACAATCCGAAATTGTGTTCAAGACACGCTCTGGGAGGCTCGAAGGCTCCCGTCGAGCGGCCAGAGATGCAGGGCCCACAGATCGGGCCGAGGATGCCAAATGGCTGCAATATAACAAAGAGTGAAAAATTTAAGGGGGTCTGAATACTTTCCGTACCCACTGTATGATATAGGTTAGCAACATTACAAGACGAAGATGTTTCCCCGAATATCAGCATGATTACAATGTGACACTATACAATAATAGTTCAATAAACAAGAAGTTAAAATGAGTGACTTACATTTTAGACACAATATTGACCGTTTTTGCTCAATTTCCAATTAAAGTTCCAATAGTTCCAATCAAAGCCACAACAGAACTGTTGTGTGTCTCTGAGCAACACACAATGGCATTTCATTACTGAATGAATCCATGTTTTTGAACGAATCGAGTGAGTCAATGATTCAGTAACCCATTCATAATATATGTTGTGAACGAACCTTTTCAGTCCTTGATACAAAGAAAGCTTTGTTGTCTCTTGATTGGATCAATCTTTAATCACTCCTCTGAGTAGATGACGACACGACTGGCAGGAAGTCGACCTAGAATATTGGAGTCATGTGCTGGGATGATTAGCAAACCTCCTGATGGCTGATAGGAGCATAGCAGTGTCCGTTCATGTACTAGAAATCCCTACATACATCTAATGCCACTTCAGATGCAGCTTCTGTCTCCTCTGCAGTGGAAAGATGGAGTTTGTTGATACTGATTTCATTTGAATAGTAACAACTCTACAGTTTCTAACTGAATTAATTGAAACAATGTAAAAATTTGCTGTGAAAGATGACACATACATTTAATAAGGTTAGGAAAAAATGCCCATTTATAAACATAGTGGGAAACGACATCTGTTTTGTTATACCCAGCAACTCAATTCTACTTCTTTACAGTCACAGAGCACTTTATTTTGAGAGTTGTTTAAGTGAGAGAACAGCTAAATTTCGCTGACGAAAATAGTTCCGATCAAAGCCACAGCAGGACTGTCGTGTGTCTCCGAGCAACACACAGCTGTGTTTCATTACTGAATGAATCCATGTTTTTGAACGAATCGAGTGAGTCAATGATTCAGTAACCCATTCATAAAGAGAGTCAGCTGCCTCGTTTCTGCATGAATCAGCTGTTTGAACGAATCGGTTAAATGAATGACTAAATGACTCACTAATTAAAAAAAGTTATTTAGTTGGTGGTTTGTTTTTATAATTAAAAGTATCATTGCATTTTCCCCATACATTTCTTATTTGTATATTCGAAAAAAACATTTTAAAACATTAATTTATTATATATAACATTATTTATTATATAATTTTGTGGTGTAAATGCATTTATGGCACCTCAGCTTCATTAAACATTCTACTTCTTTACAGTCACAGAGCACTTTATTTTGAGAGTTGTTTAAGTGAGAGAACATCTGTAACTTAGTCTAGATTGGGGAATTGTAATGCTTAATCATCTTAATCTTTTATTATGCAATAATCTTTTATTATGCATTTACAATCCGAAATTGTGTTCAAGACACGCTCTGGGAGGCTCGAAGGCTCCCGTCGAGCGGCCAGAGATGCAGGGCCCACAGATCGGGCCGAGGATGCCATATTGTCCCGTTTGCTTGAGAGAGGAGATCCCGTCTCAACGGAATGGGCCAAGGGGCCGCTACCAACAGCTGGCCACCAGGAGAACCTTGTGTTTTTGTTTCCTCACTTGCCTGATTACCTATGGGATCAGGGCGATCGGGGGAAAAGCATAAAGAAGGAGGTTGGGCCAATCGTGGGTCAATGCTTCCCTGGTCTTTGAGTAATAAATTGGGCAGTGAGAGTTGTCATCTGAGGCTAAGAGGTCTACCTCGGCCTCGCCGAATATCTCCCAGATCCTCTGAACCGTCTGCGGATGGAGCATCCACTCCCCTGAGGGGACATTGCTCCTTGATAACATGTCTGCTCCTTGGTTCAATTTGCCCGGTATATGCGCTGCTCTCAGCGAGCGCAGGTTGAGCTGAGCCCATTCCAGGAGGCACTCTACCAGAATGAAGAGACGCTTCAAGGAGAGGCCTCCTTGGTGATTTATGTAGGACATCACATACATGTTGCCCGATCGGATTAGCACATGGTGCCCATTTAGGACTGGCAGGAAGAACTGACAGGCTTGACATACTGCTAGCATTTCCAGGCAGTTGATGTGGAAGCCTTTTTCCGCCTTCGACCAGTGGCCGAAAGTCAGTATGCCCTCGCACAGCGCCCGCCAACCTGAGTTGGAGGTGTCTGTCGTGACAACTGCCCTTCTGCAAACCATCCCCATGGTCACACCCTGTTCCATCCAGCGGGAGCTCTTCCAGGGGGCCAGGGCTGTTACACAGGCCTGACTCCCCCTGATGTGCAGGCGTCCGTGACGCCACGCATGGGATGGGACCCGTGGTTTCAACCAGCACTGAAGGGGGTGCATACGAAGCAGACCCAACTGTAGTGCTGGCGATGCCGCCGCCATGAGGCCCAGCATCCTCTGAAACGCTTTGAGAGGGCGAGTGGTACCAATCTCGAAGGAGGTCACCAGCCTCCGTATGGCCAGAGCCGGCAGGACAACAGCTCTCAATTGGGCTGAGTCGAAAATTGTTCCCAGGAACGATATTCACTGGCTGGGGAACAACGCGCTCTTGGCAAAATTGACATTGACCCTGAGTCCCAGGCACTCCAGGTGGC